GACCTTCAATGGCAACGCAAATCTCTTTGTAATACCGTTCCTCTTCGTCGGCGAACATCTCCTTAACTCCCAGTCCTCTGTAGATATCTTTCACTTTGGCGACACTATCGCCATCTTTGAGGCCATAATTAGCCTCAAGTGTCGCCCTCTGGTCCCTATCGCACACCCGGAAGGCCTGAACGATAGGCCAACAGCACTTACCCTCCTCTATATCGGTGCCTATTTTGCCGATAACATCCGGGTCACCGAAACAGTCGAGATAGTCGTCCTGCACTTGGAATAGGTGCCCGATTTTTAGTAGGATATCCTCGGCGTACTTGTGCTCAGACTCCAAATCGATCCCAGACATGTACATTGCTAATTTATTATACATGGATGATAATATTCATGATTAATGCAACAAGCTAAAATATATTTTACTAGGCGAATATTATAAAATGTCAATTACATTAAGTTTACACTTGTTTTTGACATTGTCCAAATTGGAGTTATCATAAAAAGTATTTTAAATTTTAACATGATAATTTGTTGGTTTTTAGTGAACAATGTGGGTTTTGGATTTTACGTACCGAGTCGCACCGGTAGCACAAACGAGTATAGACTAGTCTTGTACTTAACGGTCGTATCGTATCGTCGCTGCGAAAAGAGCTCAAACTGCGGGCGTTTATCGGGCGGATTGGACGCCGTGTCCATACATTGGCCGAACCCAGTACACCGAGCTATCTAATCATATTAAATAGAATATTTCATTATTAAGCCTTTCTAACTTAAAATACTGTCATTGACCATGATACCATACTTCGTGATATAGATCAACAATTTTCTGGTAATATGGTTTGTCCGAGAAGTATAGTCTCAACACGTGGTACATGTGTTCGTTGACCATAATTGAGTCGTTACACGACATGAGTCCTACGTAAGGCTTATAAATAATTTTTAAAAATTAATTAAAATTAATTTGAATGTAAATTAGAATTTCAAATTATTTAATTTTACAAACTGTACACTTACATAATTTTTAGCATAACAATACACTTTAAATTATAATAAACAGTACCAAACAAATTACGTACCAATTTATACCAACACGACTGTCCACGTCTGGTCACCGACTGGTCCATCATATCGTCGACAATGAGGAAAAAGGCCTGAAGTATCTCCACCGTCCAGCCCAGTATCCGAACCAACTCCATGTCCCCGTCACTCGGCTCAACACCCCTTTGTTTAGCTATAATACGGTACGTCTGGACACATGCCAGCCCTCTGTTGCGCTTACCGTGCGGTACGTTATATACGAGACACTGTTTGAGCCATTCTATAGGTTCGGTCAACTCGTGGGCCGCGCCGGTAGTATCGGACGACGTGGGGGTTAAGGCCGACAATATTTTGGCAAAAGTTTTGTCAAACTCTATGGACTCGGTTTCGGTGCTCATTATCAAAGTAATTGTGATTTAGATTTATAACAAGTTTGCGACAAATTTTATGTTTAATATAAAAGTATGTAGACAGTTTATATAAAATTTAAATTATTTTTAACTTTAATTGTCTAGACACAATTTTAATTAAAATGTGGTGTATGAGTGATAAGGTCACTTTTAACATATATTTATACATTAATTTTAAAATGTTATAAAGTTTTAATTTAGAGGATTTTTGCCATTTTAATAATGAACTTGCTGTATGCAAATAAATCAGTATATATTTATGTTTGTTTATTTAGCACAGGGAGCATATTCAAAAATAGATTTTAATTAACATTGCTTAAAAATAGGAAGTCATTAGATTTCTATCAAACTGTTTCATGAAATTTTACTTATAACTAATGATTAATAAGGGCAAAGTAATCATTATGTATTCATTAATTAATACAAATACTCCTGTACAAATACACAATATTGTATATTACATAATATAATATAACATGTATTATATTTAAAATTTATTTTAAAAATTCACTTTAAATATATTTACATTTATTAAACAATTAAAATGTTTAAAATAGAATAATTAATTTATAACAATTGTAAAGATTTACATAGTTTTTAATATATAAGACCATGGTTATAATAATGGACAATTTATGTTGAATCGCACCCTTTTTTCCGAGCGCCTCCTAATTTTGTAATCCTTATCCATACTTAAATCAATTATACGCTCAGCCATAGCCACAATTTTAACACATATTATAACCATAATAATAGGTATAATAGTAATTAACATCCTTATTAATTATAAGATTATTAATGTGGCATAAAGTAATTAAAAAAAACTTATATTAGAGTAGAAGTGATGGTTATTAAATTAATTTTAAGTTATGTAGGTATTAAGTATACTTTTTTATGACAAATGTTAATATATTTAAAAGTGTTTTAGATTATTGACAACCAGATTTATAAATAATAACAAAGGTGTTTTGTTTATGTAAATGTGTATTGTGCATGATTATCACGTTCTAGGTTATGGGCTATATCAACACACACACACACACATACATACATACATATATACAGTACATACATACATACACATGTAACGTCATTTTAAAAATAAATGTTATATTATATTATAGTAAGTACTAAGTTATATATAAAAAATTATTTAATACATTTATATTAATGTTAATCAAATATTAATTTTTTAATCTAAAAAATTATATGTAGTTAACAACGAAAATAAAATAATTTCAGAATAAAATAATGCTATCAAGTTTTACTTAAAACCTTTTTATGTGCCATGTATATATATTATAAAATTAATGGAAAAGTTTGCACCTATTTATCTCATTTTACATCATATATATATATATATATTTTACAATTTTACTTTCAAATCACGTATTGTATTTTAAAATATATCATATATTAATACTTATAATATTTAGTATACTGTACAGTATATGATGAAATACTGCACCCAAATAAAA